AAGATCACAGGGAGCCCAGGAAGCAGCAATGTCCTTGAGTTAGGCCAGCAAGGGCTCTGAGCGGGCCAGCCCTCGGGCTGGAGTGCACTGGGGGCCAGGCAGAGGGGCTCGCTCCATCTGGGGTCCTGACTGTGGTTTCTGCCAGAGGTGAGGCAAGTTGGAATTGGATGTGAGTGACGTTTCAAAGAACTTAGAAGTCAAATTGGGAACAATAATCAAAGGCTTCCATTTTGAAGCTGAAACAACTCCAAATCCTTCTCTTTCACTAAGGGGAGAACACGAGCACCATGTCATTATCTTAGTTTACGGAGTTGCTGTTCCAAATGTTCTCGGGAGCATTAGTGCGCTAAGAGGGAACAGGAGATGGGAGCTCTGCCATTTCCAGTCACATAAAGGACAGAAATCCTTTTAATTATGACCATGCCAATCTACATCCTGCTAAAACAGCTAATTACATGTCAGAAGGACACTCAGTCATTCAGAACAATTGCCATTGTATTTTTATATATTCATTCTATGCCACCCCCCTCAATTACCATGGTTACAATTTGAAAAGATTCAGCCCAACCTTCATTTGATCACATCACACCAATGTGAATTGGAGAGTTAATTATGGCTATACAGAGCCACTCTTACTTAAAAGAAAAGAGAAAATGAAAATGGGGAGTCCAGGGAACCGGCATCCCGAGACTTCTCAAGTATGAGCTGGGCCGCGCATCCCCACGCCAGCCGCACCGACCAAACGGAGGGCGGCCGAGCAGCAGCGGATGCAGCTGTCCAGACCGGGGCCGACCAACCCGCAGACCAGCCACGGGAAAGGAGTGTCAGGAGAGGAGGAAGGTGCGGCGCCCCTGCAGCTGTGCCCCTCTGGGTGCTGTTAGGAGGCTGGCTGATGAGAGACAGTGGGTGTGGCATGTGGGTGGTCAACTGTCTCATGGTGTCAAAATGCATGTCACGTTTCACGTGAACAGAATCAACTAAATTCAGTTCTGCCACGAATGTCAGAGGAAGAATGACTAAAAAGAGGCTCAGGGATCCATACGCCTGTAATCCTGAGGCGTCTACGTCACTGAGATAAGAAGCCGGCAAATCTTCCCTCCTCCCCTCATGTGTCTTCCCGTCTTGATTTAAAACCAAGGCAGTGTTAAAGGAGACTGGAGGTTTCAGATTCTTGGCTTGCTTTTTGCTGCGATTTCTAATCCTCACCAAGAAAGAATAACAAAGCCAATACTGAAACTCTCAATATACAGACTTCCAGGTTTGAAAATTATATGTAGATCTGAACAAAGTTACCTTTCTGAGATGAGTGAGTCAACCACTGGCCCGGGAGGTCACAAGACAGTAGCTTATCACTTGCAGTTTATAAATAGAGCTGAGAACACCCTTTCCAAACACAACCTGTATGTGAGAGGACTTTCCGTCACCAGAAAACTGACTTGTTGGCTTGCATCTGAGAAGCCTTTCCTACCACCTTAGTGTGCTAGTTTTCTGGAGAGTGGTAAAGAAATCTTTCTTTTAAAGTGACAGTCATCTTTGAAACCAAGCATGCATAAAGAAGTAACAGCACATTACAGGAAAAGGAAGGCCCTCTGCTCTGACCGCACACCACCGTGACATCCGGACAGCTGACCTGGCCATGCGCAGCTGCTTCTCCAGGAAAGCCTTCCACTCTCAGGGAACACGACATTGGATAACTCAGGTATTCCTAATACGGAAATGAAGAAACAGTAAGACGGCTTTCAGGGCATGCAGCTCAGTTTGCCAAATTCAACATGGCTGACATGATCCCCAAATCCCAAGGAAACATCCTTGCTATTTAATGAATACACGCAAAAAAAAAAAAAAAAAAAAAAAAAAAGGAATGCCTTCTGTGTGTCATTCCCACCCCTGCCCCAGGACATCCACCCACCCCATGCCACCCTCTCCAAAGATACAGCAGGAGCTGGGCAATGTGCCCAACTTTCACTGGGAAATCTTGACAAATCAATCCGGCTCAGCAAAGCTATAAATGGATTTGGGTGGTCTCAGCGCAGCCCCCAAGAAATACAGTAGTAAAACATGACTAACAATCACAACGAAATGACAAAATCTATCATCACTCTGACATGATTCAGGTCACAGAGACTGACACAGAAACCAGCGCACAATGGCGTGGGTTGGGTTCTTCAGTGTAGTGTAGTACTGAGCATGGGATCATCAACAAGAAAAATTATTGCCTAAGAATCTGTGGAGACATCCGGGGAAGAAAACACGCTGGCTTTTCTCTCAACAACAAAAGACAAAAAGCAATTTCAAAAGGCAGAGCCACAAATTAAATGGGAAGGCTGCTTCTAACCAAACTCTTCTTAAGACCAGATAGTAAAGACTTAAGAGTTCACATTTGTAGGACAGGGATGGGAGGGAGGGAGAACATTTGTGGAAAAGGGATCATTCCCACAGTTGACGGCAGAGATGATCATGCTGGTCAGTGGAATATGTAGCTGGTCAAGAGGAGGAGGAGTGTTTGTGTGAAGAGATGGACCACACCCAGCTACTTTTCCCTGCTTTAACAAGATTAGAAAATTCCAGCAAAGAAGTCAGCTGAAGACCTAGTCAGAGGGAGAGAGAAGAGAAGCTGTTCGGACAGATAGGATAAGGGTGGAGACTCCTGATGCAATGAGTGTGTTTATACTTGGTGCCTGATGGTTGATACCCAAGGGAGAAGTTTCTAAAGCCAGTATTTCTTAAAGACAAGCGTTAAACAGGCAGAAGGGAAACAATTATATTGGTGAATTCTTCAGTCATCTCCTGTGAGGTAAAATATATCTGGATACATGGACCTAACATAGGCGGTGGTAATCACTGAACTGGCTGGCAGCATAAATCTATCAAGAACTAGAGAACTTGACATGCACACTTTAGTATTAATGATTTTCCTCCTCTCTGCCCCAGGTTCCTTCGTCCTATGAGGGGCCATGGGAATGTGAATATGGGGGTGGGGTGGGAGGACTGACCTTGTGAGTGACAGGGGTGGGGACTGTTCAAAGTCATAGGTGGGTGGAAGGCAACTACCTTTACTAACCACTTAAAGAATTGTGATTGTAAAGAAAATTGCCATAAGGGTATTCCAACTTTTTAAACTTTGCTGAAAGAAACCAAAATGTCCATATGGGACTGAATGGCACTGAAGGCTTGAGATGAGAATGCAGGGTGTTGCCCTCCCCAGCCTTCATCTGCTGTTGGGGTGATCAACAGATGGGCAGATCTCATCAAGATGACCCATTTTAAAAGGTGCTTGTGTCAGTGTTTTTAAAGGCTGGAAGTTTACCCATCTGACAATAGTAATTCAATTAAAAGTGTCTTTAAAGAAATAACAAATTACATGAATACCTGTTGGCAAGGTCCCCCCACCACTTTAAAGGACTTTTCAAAGTCTTCCTGACTGGAAGGAGCCACCCCTGCGGAGTCCCCAGGGCCTGAAGGAGGGAAAGGAGTCCGACGGGAGAGGCACAGACACACAGACACCGAGAAGCACACAGCGTGAGTTTTTAGAGACTGGCTGCTTTCCCTTCAGTAACCAGGAAGTTTAGGGTGTCTATTTTAATTCCACCTCTAAAACCTGAAAAAGATTACAAGAAATATACTACCTAGAAATGTAAGAGAAGCAGTGCCACACACCATTAGAAGAACTAAGGTGGCCTGGACAAGACAGCAGAATTGAACCTGGCGACAAACAGAAAACCGACAGATTTAAATCTAGGCCCAAAGGAAGTAAATTTTCACTCCTGATGAAAAAGCAAAGGTGACATGTAAGGCAGTGGGTCTTCTCCAAAGACGACGATGACTGTGGGTGGAAGATGCCTTCATCCTGTTCCCACTGAGTGCTACAGGACATTCTCCTGCAGTGGCACAAATGTTCTTTCAGTTATACCACATTGCCAGATAGGGCCTGGTACCACCCTTCATGGACTCCCAACTCCTTTGTTCTCTGAAGCTTTTTTCCTCCCTTATAGGTGTTAAAACAATGAAACCTTTTAGTGCTTCTATGGCAATCTTTGTATTTCTTTAGCAACTGCAGCTGTCTTAACAGTTTGAGTCTGTTCCTTTAAAAAGACCAGCAAGAACAAATGATACTAGCAATCCCATCATAAAGAAGCTATCGATTATAATAATCTCCTTACAATCAATCATGAATGTGGCTTGTCAGAGAGTAGATTTTTTTCTCTGTCTCCTTGTTCTTTCCGATTCAATTGAGAATAAGCAGACAAAATTCCACCAAAATGGAAATATTTTCTCTAAGCCAAATAAAAGGGAAGAAAGATAACGCAATCTCCTAATTGAAATAAAAAGTCAGATAGACCAAGAAAGAATATGAGAGGGGAAAGGGAGGCTCATTCCTGAGAATAACAAATGCTACTCTTAAATTTGTTGGTTCAAGTAATACAGTAAAACAGAAGAGATGGCTCTGCTTTACTTCAATGCTTGGAAGCTGGAAAAAGTACATATATTTTTCCCCCTGAAATCCATGGACAAGAGCAGGAGCAGACCCTGCATATAGCTCTTTATAGTCACAGACATATATAAGGTGGCACTTTCATGCTCTCGCAAAGACTCGACTCACACTCACATAAGCACGATTAACAGATAAGGAAATGATGCAGTCAGCATGTGCCTGAAGTGGAAGAAGGTCAGATAGAAACTGGCGGATACTCAGTATCTCCTGAATGAGAAAGGGAAAATCGAGGAAGGTCATTCAGTCTCTCATAGTTTTAAGTTGAATACATTTGGTAGAGGAGGATGGCTGAAGAGGTAAGGAAATGGCACCTTCCTTCTGTCTTAGAAATTGTTTTCATTCAGGTAACGGACAGAAAGAAGCCCCACGTAACAGCCAGCCCCACAGTCCCCTTTAAACACGGCTTCATTCTACACAGCAGGGACCGGATGAGGCAAAAAATACATAGCAGTTGTGCCTCTTTCAGATGCACCCTGTGCTGCTACATTGAAGGCTCTTTCCTCTTACCCACAGTGACAGTGTGTCATTTAATCGGGATGCCAAGAGATCATTTTCATACAAGGCCAGCAGATGTAATTTTCTTTGATGCATGAATAGTTCATCATTTTGCTACTAGATGACAAGGTGATCACAGGGTGACTTTAGAACACAAGTTCACTGTTTGGTATTTTTGAGTTCTCAAAATGAAAAAAAGATTTATCAAATATAAATATCTTTAAAAAGTAACAAAAGTGCTACATATGTGATCAAGGAAAAAAATTCCATTAGTTACTGCCGCTTAAAGTAGATTAAACTTTACAAATATTACCACATCCATTATCAATATGGCTTCCAATTATTAAATAAATTGCCTGTAGCAATACAGCTTTTCACATCTCTCCAAGGACAGAGTAAAGAGAACAGCAAAGCAGTCCCATCCTGTTGTTCTGGTACAGCCACAATGTGAGTGGGAAGCGTCCCCTGCTTTTCTCTGCTCCTATCTGGGCAAGCGTCTGCATCTGTGACAGGCAGCATGACCCCACTATGAAGTCTTCTAGTGACCTCTCAGATTGAGGGGGCTTCAGTTTAATGGATACAAACACTGCAAGTTTTTTCACTCATTTTTGACCTTAGCTCCATCCTTGAAAGATTTTTTTGGTAGCAGGGAAAGGGGACACCGACAGGAGGCAAAGCAACTTCCACGATGACCTCCAAAACTTTTCCAGGCAGGCACTGCTAACTGTGCCGCGGAATGTGCAGTGGTTCTGAAAACTGGACTTTAGCATCCATCAGACATTCAGCTCTTATTTTTTTTCCCAATGCTCTCAAGCTGGGTTTTTTTTTTTTTTTTTAATGACTTTTAGTTTTTGTTTTTAATCATGGTCCCAAAGGCAGAAGGCAGTATTTTATCTACTAAGTCACACAGCTTGTGAGAGAAAAGGATGTCTGTGTCAGGCATGTTAACTTCAAACAAAATGTGAGATTGACTTTTTCCATTGACATTCTTAGCACAGCACCCAAGAAGTATAATCTAGCCACAGCGTGGCTATAATGAGGCACGGCTTATTGCAGCTGGAAATCAATTATCCTCACGCTGAGGTGGGGGTTCTAGTGTTCCTCTGACTCTGTGGATACTCCCCAAATGGTGTCTGTCATTCCTGTGCCACGACCTCAGCTTGCATCCTATCAGTCTTGGGGAAGGAAAAGGGGGTACAGACTAGTGTTACAAGAATCTAAAGGTACCCAAGATTTTACACGTAGCCTAATAATTGAGAACTGAGGGCTATCTAAATACCTGGAAGCACTTTCTTGGAATGCTAAGACGGAGCAGCAAGATGTTCTAGCCTCGGGGGCTGGGAGAGGGAAGTTTGGTTGGTTGGTTGGTTGGTTATTATTTACTAGGAATTAATACTGAGAGAGTATATGCAAAGGCTGAGGGCACCATGCCATCTTCACAGAACAAGACCCTAACGGCTATCTGACATACAAGAAACTGCAAGTTATACTGTAAGAACACATGTTAAGGACCGAGGAAAGTCTGCTAAGGTGCTACGTCTAAACTAAGTTAACTCGTCGTGTTCAACCTCCCTGATCAGTCATCATCCAGGGCCTCTGTCTTGATTTCGTTGGCTCCTTGTCGGGCCAATGCCAAGATAGTGTGGTTGACTGCTGCCATTTCCACAGCTAATGAGATGGGGTCTTGGTGGTCACTATGGCTCGTACTGTCATCCTAGATATGCGGAAATAAGAAACAAATGTTATTAGTAGATTGGTAGAATTCTTCCGTCACAGAAATACATGCTGGGGCAAGGGGAGGCAGAACATTCATGGGAGGAAACTGGGGGAGGGGCTCATGATAGAACAGAGGTAAATTGTATTTAAGTAGACACTGAATGGATATAGGTCCAAATATTTTCAGTTGATAATTTTATGATTCAACAAGTAAAACACTAAAAATGTATTTCCTCACTGTTAATTCTATTCATTCTATTAGAAAGATTGCTGGTGGTGATAATCAAACCTACAGTGATTGATATAAAACCAACAATTTGGATCTTTCTGTATGCAACAAATATAGCACTAATCACTGAAGGCCATACTAGTGAGCTATTGAATTCCAGATTGCTGCTCTTACAAATAGATTATTAGAATTCATGGTGTCTCTCTACTGAACTGAGAAAACTAGACAAAACTTACAGTTACATCTTACAGATAAAAATGCATTTTTGTAAAAAAAAAATAAATAAATAAAAGAATTCTCAATTATAACAGGACACAAGTATCACTGCTGGAAATGGCTACGGGAGAAAGGTGCGGCACTCTCCTGCTATGTGAGGAGCGGCAGGCGTCTTACCTAGGAGTGTGAAGCTCTCCTCCCCGCGCAGCTCAATGTGTTAAACAATAAAGCTGTGAAGGAAGCTGGCATTGCAGGATGTACATCAGGCACTGAAGTCGGTGTTACAAATAAGGGGTACATTTCTCACCTGTCATCTTCAGGGGAACTCTGTATCAAAGAGCTTTGGAAACGGTAAGTCCCTTAAGGAAAAAACAAAACGTGGGATGTGCTGCCCTTAGGGCATCTGTAAAAAAAGATGGAAACGATCCATCTATGTGAGTGGATTGAAAAACAACAGGAAGGTTTCTGAACAGAAAGACTTACAGAATTTTCTCTTGGGGCTGTGAAGTAGAGGCCTAAAGGGAAAAAAATGTAGTTTTTCGGAAGTTTGGACATCGTTTCCTTCTACTGTTCACAGATGAGTTTTTAGAATTTACAAAGGGATCAGCACAGACTCACATGCACTCTAGGTATGTGATAAGCAGAGGCTTTTAAAGAATGCATTGGACTATATGAGCTGCCTGGGGGGCAAGGAAAAAGCACAGATCCCAGAAAAAAAATCAGAAGTTTTCTTGCTGTGATCTAGGGGAAGAAACCATGCATTCTCTTCATATTCCAAATGGAAATTTAAATCCTATCAAAATTGTAATGAAATCTGTCAACATTCATGTGCGGGTTGGGGGGTAACTCCCCTAGTCTTAGTTACTGAATTACTCCATGCAGTGGCTACAATTAAATACATTTTCCCCAAAAGCAATGCTGAATAAATCAGGGCGAGGCAAGGAGTCATGCAGGTATTGCACTTATGAGACGATGCATGTGTCAGTGTGCCAGAGAGACTCTGGAAGAACCACTCCTTTGGGCAGGAGGGTTCCCACTGCAGTGGGGCTGGAGTGAGTGGGGCCTTCCATCGTGCCCTGCGTTGGTACATGTTTAGGCATGGGGCCCAGCTGCCCCTAGTATTTCTCAAACACTGAGTGTGTGTCGTGAATGGTGTAACTTGCTTGTTTGGATCAGATCCTCCTCTCTTCTTCTACCTTCTCTGCTTCTCTGCCTCCCTCTGAACTTCTTCCCTCCTCCTCCTCCCCATTGCGTACTTGCCAAGTATCCTGTTGTATGACAATAAATCCATGTGGGTGAATAACAATTTCTCACAAATTCAACAGGACAACTGAATCTTACCACATTCCTTTCAAATTACATGAAATCTAACTAGACACAGGAGCGGAGTGGAGGGACAGTGACTCTTTCCCCTCCCCCACCCCATCAGCCACACCCAGGAACTGAACTGTCCCACTGTCCCCCTGCTCAGGCACCAAGAACCTCGACCAGATGCGCAGAGGCTCACCTGCTCAGAGTAGTCGTTCCCATCGACATCGTCACTATTGGAGTGGCCTCCTGGACTCTGCACGTCTATCCCATGACTCTCCAGGATTGCTGCTTCTTCGAAAAAAGCAAATAGATCCCTAAATTATCTGTTATTGTATCCTAATGGCTGAAACTCTGAATTTTTGTGCTGAAGAAATTAGAATGTAATTAAACAAGACCCTATATTTCTCTACACTTGTTTCTTTTAGACATAGATGGCTGAAATTCGAGTGCATGTAGGTTAGGGGAGGCACACCTTTGCCATTCTGGGGTCTCTGCTGCTGTGCGTATTAGGTACTTCATAAATGATTGCTAACTACACAGTTCTCCTATCTTGGGGTTCTATAAAGCCTATGAGAACTGTAATAATGAATAAAAATTGTATTTAGAAACGAAACGAAATGCTGTCTATGCCCATACCATGCTTGATGCACCTGATCTCATGTGATCTGTTAGTACTTGGATGGGAGAAAAAAATGCAATTTTAGAAGGTAAAATCCAACACCCCACCTGACTTGCCAACTTAAATTTCTTACTTATTGTTACAGTTTTGGATGAGAAAAAATTATTTCTTCCTGTTTCAGTTATATTCATAATTCCCCCTAGGGCACTTTTGGCATTTTTTTTTCTCTGCTCAGCTTTGTTGAGATATAATTGATAAATAAAAATTGTATATATTTATGGCATACAAGGTGATGTTTTGATACATATGTATACATACATATAGATGATTACATCAAGAATTCCCACTTCTTAAATACTCTTTATCTCTGTCTTTTGCTGCATTCCTTGTCTATTAGGTCTCTTTCATTCCAAACCATTAATCAATTGTTTCCTAGTATCTAAGTCATAATCCAGTAATAATAAAGAAATTTCGATTATCACATTGCCTCTCTCGAGACCCAACAAGTATCTTTCATATGTACCACAGGAGTAATCAATTGCTCAGGGGCCATGTATAATTCTATATTCTAGAATTTTAAGAATAATGAGTTCTATAAATAACCATGTCATTACCATTACAATACAAATGGTGTCAATAATACTAACTGTGGTTTATTAAAAACGCAATGAAAGACATTAGGGCAATTTTTGTTAGGCTTAGAAGTTAGGATCCAGCCGGGCGCAGTGGCTCATGCCTGTAATCCCAGCACTTTGGGAGGCTGAGGGGGGCAGATCATCTGAGGTCAGGAGTTTGAGACCAGCCTGACTGACATGGCAAAATCCCCGTCTCTACTAAAAATACAAAATTAGCTGGGCGTGGTGACATATGCCTGTAATCCCAGCTCCTTGGGAGGCTGAGGCAGAAGAATCACTTGAAACCAAGAGGCAGAGAGGTTGTGGTGAGCTTAGATTGCACCATTACACTCCAGCCTGGGCAACAAGAGCAAAACTCCATCTCAAAAAAAAAAAAAAGATCCTTTAGACTTGCAGTTTCTAAACTGAAGCTAATCATAATATAAACATGACGTTCAAACTGCTGCACGAGAGAGAAAAGCAGCCTCACTGATACATTACCAATATTGGCTCTCCTCTTGATCTCCTTCCTTCTGTTAGCAAACCAATTATATACTTTCAGGGAGGTAACTCTTTCCAGATCAGACAGTTTTTTACCTGTGAATACATGCAATAAAATTCAGATAATCTGTATTTGGGATCCAATAATAAACTAGTTTTAAGGGCTAATATTTTTATTTTGTTGCTTTTGATTACACTGCCAAAACCATAGATGCAGAGGAATTTTTAAAGTATTATCTAGTACCAAGTATACGCCCCAATTATTAAATCAATAAACATGTAAATGAACACAACAACAACTAGTAACACAGCATGCTTCGATTCAGAAAGCCATACATATTAGAGATTTCCACAAACTCAGTTGGCTAGGGTGCCAGATCCACGTTAGCATGACAGTACCATGGGTGCTTCATTTAATTACCATTATTGTAGCAGAGTAAGTTATTCATTTTTTATTTTTTTGACACGGGGTCTCACTCTCTCACCCAGGCTGCAATGCAGTGGTGCAATTATAGCTCCCTGCAGCCTCGACCTTCTGGGCTCAAGAGATCCTCCCACCTCAGCCACCCGGGTAGCTGGGACTATGGGTCCAGGCCACCATGCCAGGCTAACTTCTGTGGTTTTTGTAGAGCGATAGGGTCTCGCCATGTTGCCCAGGCTAGGCTCCAACTACTGGGCTCAAGCGAACTGCCCAACTTCGCCTCCCAAAGTGCTGGGATTACAGGCGTGAGCCACCACAGTGGCCCAAGATGAGTTATTCTTTATCATGTATCCAGACAAGAGAAATTTACTTACATCTTTAAGGCCTTATGTTAACTAGTTACCTGCTATCTTAGGACAGAGGATAGACATTATACGTGGTTTCTTAAAGGCTGAAGGCCGCTGTGACTATCCATTATTGTAACTGGGTTGGAATACATAGTACAATTCAGGTTACATTTTAGATTTACCATCTTTGAAGTCCAATGTGATTTTCTTATGAATAGTATCATGCTTGCCAATACAGACCCCCCTGTAACATTCCCTCCTCACCTTCCTTTTGCATTTCGGCTATTAATCCACAGTGGGTGAAGAAACCAGAAAGCAGGTTTGTTAGGGCCTTGATGATACAGGGGTAAAATGTTCCAGGGAGAGTTCAAGTTTCTGCACAGCTTTAGGGCTAGGACTTTTGGCATGTTTGAAACAGGGTACAGATTCCTTTCACTTGTGTGTCACTGGAGCAGAGTTTGTAGGGTCTACATTGCTAGAAGTCTGGCTTCTGGGTGAGGGAGAATGAAGGTCTGCTTAATTTCTATAAAACACTAATACTTTTGTATGTAGCCTTTAAGCCAATCAAAATAAATGGCCACATGGAAGTTAACTGGATCTATTAACTGAGAATGGTTTCTGTTTAACAAAATCTGTAAAATGTGAAATAATATTTTAGCACAAGAAAGAAAATACATTTGAAATATTTAAGTAGGTTTGCTGATTTTGGAACAACAGGACTTCAAAATGGTACTGCCCGAAATCTTTCTTAGCTAAGCAGAAGTCATCTCAATGTGGAAAGCAGACAGAAACCATCTATCTGCTTTCCACATGGAAAAGAATTCTTTCCCCAAAGAGAAATACAGCATTTTATAATTTATAACAATTGTTTACAAAAAAGTCTATCTTAATCTTATATTGAAAAAGCTTGCTTAAATATTTAAAACTTTATTTCATAATATCTTTTAGCTAAATTCTTAGAAAAAGAAATCTACACATTAAAAAAATAGTAATTTGAAGGTCTCATATTTCACATACGGTTACTCCCTGAAAACTCTCCAGTGTTAGCATTTGATTTTGAGTACCATAAAAACATCTCTCAGAAGTACTGTGTGAGCAGGACAGAGCACTGGCCACTTGTGGAAGGATGGCACACACTGAGCTGGGAGCACCATGCCAAGGGGCTCATGAGACTTAGCATCCTAGACGCCGACCTGTAACCAAGCACTGTGCTGCACCGCAGTGCAAGGCTGTGCCTATGACCTTACCTGGCTTCTGTATAACTGCATTGCAAGCATTTGCAATTTCTTCCCTCTTTGCTTCATCTGGGTATTGATTCTCATTGAAGTAACTGCAGAGGCAACCGATAAAGATACAAAGTTTTTATTTTTCAAACCTACTCTTATTGAAATACTAACTCGTTGAAAAATATGGTTCTGTAAGATGCCACACTCAAGTGTCTAGGTCCAGGCTGTCGAATGGAAGCTTCTGTGAGAGTAGAATCTTCTATGCTGGCCAGTATGGTGGCCACAACTCACAAATGGCTACTGAGCACTTGAAAGGAGGCTACTGTCAGTGATGGAATTTGAATTTTATTTAATTTTAACTAATTTAAATTTAGCTCCATGTGACTAGAGGCTATTATATGAGACAGAACAAGACTACACACTGCTGTGCTTCATTAAAAGATGTGGTTTATATAAAGTTATTTTTTATATACGTGACTGATTCAAGTCACATTTCTATTATTTAGGCACTGGTAATAATAAGACTTTTTTTTTTTTTAATTGTCAAATTGTTTGTAATAGCAAAAACTGGAAACTACCCAAGTGTCCATCAATAGGAGAATGGCAGAACAAATTTGGGATATCTATACTTATACACAGCTACTTAAAACTAGTAGGAAAAAATAAGTTAGAGTTCTGTCCACTGACCTGCAGGGATGTTTATGACATATTTCTAACTGATGAAAACTATCTGCAGAATAATGTTGAAAATGCCATTATTTTCAATATGGTTTTATACCAATAAGAAGTGAAAATATCATTACAGAATTTAAAAATTCCTTTGTGTACATAAGTTTGCATAGATGAAAGCTGGAAGAGTACAGAGTAAGCTTAAATACCAGTTACTGATTTGCGGGGAGGGGGCTTAGTGGGAGGAGTTTAAACATTTTTTATTTGTTAAAATAAATGTTAAACATTCTCTTTTTCATTTATTAACAATGTATTATCTTTGCACTTTTTAAAATATAATAGTACTATGAAAAAGAGAACAGGTTTATTGAAGCCACCCTTAGACTTCTCAGACCTGTGGTTATAGACTGCTTATTAGTGCTGCTTTTTCAGTCACCCATGAGTTTAAAAAAAGAACTTTCATGCTATCAGCTTGGAAACTTCCAATCAGAAATGAGCCCCTGTCAAATCCTAGCACCTATCATTTCTGCAGGGGTTTCCCTTTCCCTGTAATCCAGCCTTTCTTCTGCCTTCAGCACTCCTGTCTGCACTGGTGGAAATGCCATCCTACTGTGATCAGCATTGGAGGTCCCAGCCCTTCCTGAGGATCACCTGCAAACCCAACTTCTAACACTACACCTCTCACCAGCACTCCTCCTCGGAGGGCAGGCCTTCACTGCGGTTATTTATTTAACCTCAGCGGTGCCTCACCAGATGCAGTCCTGACTCACAGCAGCTGGCCCCACATAACCACCTTTTCCTGTGTAAAACTTAAGTCATATGGCTATATCCTCCCAGTCTGTTCAACTAGCACCCTCCACTATGCTCTTCTGCTTTATTTGAGCATCTCTTCCTGCATGATTTTTTGCTGTCATTTCTGGGACTCCAGTGTTCATACTAAGGATTTTTCCAAGTCACTTCCTTCATACCTGCTCCACTTCCACATTTCCAATGGCCTTTGTCTCTGCTCTACATCTGCTATTTACTTAGGCACAGATGTTGTGGATGAACTCTGAGACCAAACACCATGCCTATCACCTCGGAGTCTGTCAAAATGGCAGAATCTCAGACCCCACCTCAGACTTAATCAGAATCTGAATGTTAACAAGATCTCCAGGTTATCTAAATGCACAGGTGAGAACTTCAGAGATGTACTGGATTAGTTCATTTACACAAAATTCAACGAAAATGAAAAGCAGATACTAAGTACCTAATATGGTCCTGTCACTGTGGGTAAAGAAAGATGATATAGTTTCTGACTTCGAAGAGTTCACAGTCGACTGGAGAGAAACATACCAGTCAGTACCCTGTGGTGAAATGCCACAGGAGGTACGAACAGAGCACTTAGGGAGCACGGATGAAGGCATGCTCCGTGTTGTTGGCAGGAGCCTGGGAAGGCATCGCTGAGTAGTGTAGTCTGAGTTAGGTCTAGAGGATGAGCAGGACGTTGCAAGGCAGACAAGAGGAGGAAGAGCATTTTATATAAAAGGGAATAGCACATGCAAAGGCAAAATGGTAGATAAAAGCTTTTGAGGATTCTGGGCAGAGAGAAGAGTTCAATGTGGCTAGAACATGGGGCTTGTACCAAGCAACCATGAGATACTGGCCTGGAAAGGTGGGATGGGGCCAGCTTGTCTGTTCCTTAAGAAGTAAAGACTTCATACTGAAATAAACAAGGTGCCTTAGAGGTTTCCAAGATAGACAGAGATCTACTCCCATCTGTGCTTTAGAAGGACAGCACTTCATCTTTAAGGCTTACCCCCTGGAATTCCACCTCCATGATCTCAAATTCTGAAATTCCCCAATCAACTTTTTATTTACCTATGTCTCCTCTTCAAAAGAATTTGTTCTTCACCTCCTTCATTATCTCTAACTCCTTAATCCCCCCACCAGTTAAAAAAAAAAAAAAAAAAAAAACCTGTTTCTCACTCCTTTTTGGGCCTCACCTCTCATTTCTTAGCCTGAACTCAATGGCATGCCAAATCAACAATTTCCTTTAGGAGAAACTTAGACCGTTTAGCTTTTCTGTCCTTCCACCGTACCTGTCCAGCCAATCTCCCACCCTGCAGAAAGCAACTTCCATTTGTTTTCTTCCATCCTTCTCTCAGGGGACCAAGTGTCCCTGGACAAAGTCATAAAATAGGGCCAATTGGTTTTTTTTAATAAATCCACACTTTTCAACCTTAATTGGGCCCCTCATTTCTGCTGGGAATTCTATTGGTCTTTTCTAACCAATTGCCTTTCCTATCCCATCTTTCCTACCCCACTTACCTGAAACCTTTGCACGCTTTTACCCCACGCCCTCAAACCTACCACTGTCACTTTTGGTAGATGACCTTGCTTTCTCTCTTATGAAGACGGAGATTATTTAATATGAGTTAACTGCTTGGCTTCTCAACTTTCATACTGCCCTGAGCATTACTCATTCAGTTCTGTCTTATGGTAGAGGAAGATACATGCATTCTCCTCCTCTTCAAGGTCAACTTCTCCACTTTTGTCTTTGATCTCATTCCCCTTCCTTTTATTTTCTCAACTCTCTCCTTTCTTTCCTGCATATCTCTTCTTTTTCCTGTGCCCATACAAAGATCCAATGATCTTACTTCATTGTTTTTATAATACATATTTCTTCATTATAGTGATCTCTGAAGTCAGGACACATTTTTATAATTGGTGGTATCTTAAAATTAATTGGTGGTGTTTTGTCTCCCTTACTGGCATGTAAAATAAGGTGTGCCTTAGTTGCTAAGACCTACGGGTCCCTTTTAAGCAATAGCTCTTTGGCCAGTACAACTCACTGTGACAACTTTTCTTCCAAGTAACTACAAAGCCTGTGATGACACTGTACCCCTTCCAATGCCTGATTAATATTCCTAAAGCACATCTCTACTCATTATTCTGTTCAGAAATTCTCAAAGGTTTATTATAGAGGTATTCAGAGTCCTCCCTCAAACAACCTCTGCATCTGCTACTCCCACATATGCATGCTACCACCTAGGAAAATGGAATAACTAAACTCCTTGCATCTCTGTACCTTTCTCTTGCAAATACATTGGCTATTTTCCTCCCCCATCCCCAGTGCAAATCTTATCTATCTTTCAGGGTACGGCTCAAATATCACCTCTTGGCCAATCAAAGGTGTTTTTTTCACCCCACGAATCCCACTGCACTTCATCTGTTCCTCTCTTACGTCTCTTTCATCTTGTATTATAGTTATCACTGAATACATCTGCTACTACACTGAAAACCACCTGATGCCAGGGTACAAGTCTGACTCATCCTCACAGGCACTGCTCACTAATGATAGTGCTGACGAGTCAATAATGATAGACAAAGGTACCACCAACCAGTGTGGGGGCCTCCAAAAGAAAAGGATCACACGGTAAATGCACTGCTAACAAGCAAGGGCAGAGAGGTATTACAAAATGGCTCTTGAAGGATACATACTAAAGGGTTAGCAATGACTCTCTCCAAGAAGCGAAAGTGTTGGAGATGGGGGCCAAAACAGAAAACTATTGGTGGCAATTAAGTATGATTTTCACTTTTTCTTGGAGAAATAAGAAAAATTTAAAAAGTAATTTTCACATTTTGCCTTATATACTTCTCTGTTGAATTTCTGAAATAAACACATACTATTTTTATAAATAACTTTTTAAGAAGAGAACTTTGGGGAGACATTGCAATATTTAAGAACTAGTTTAATGATTAATACAAATCTGTAACTATTTATGTTTGGAAAGTGTATTTGGACCAGCTAGAAAATATTAAGATTGTGATTGCTATTCCTTTGACCAACAGATAAAACCATGCTATCTCTGGATGCTAAATTAGAATTTGCAATTCTTCATGGTATATATGGTTTTTTTGTACTGAGTTAAAAAGGTTGAAAATTTAATTAAAGATTAAAATTATTCTGTATTTTTAGGATCTAACTATATAAAATAAAGAAGACCAGAGTAAAAAAAGAAATCAGTAACTTTTTCCAAATGAAGGCTAAAGAAAATAAGAATTGATTCAATATGGTTTTGAATCTCTAAGCCTGGTAACTAATTAATCCTTTCTTCTCTATTAAAGACCTGTTATTTTTATAATTAAGAAATGTAGGCCTATTGAAAAATATGAATTTTCTTTTTTTTTTTGAGACAGAGGTTCGCTCTTGTTACCCAGGCTGGAGTGCAATGGCGCGATCTCGGCTCACCGCAACCTCCGCCTCCTGGGTTCAGGCAATTCTCCTGCCTCAGCCTCCTGAGTAGCTGGGATTAC